CTTGATTAGTTAGTCCTTGAGATCCTGCTTTCCTTTTCCTTGTATTATATCTTTCTATTTGTATTTCTTCTTTTGAGTTCTTATACTAGGGAGACAATCTTTCCCTAAACATTCTTCACCCATCTTCTTTAAAATATGGTTGTATGCGCCTCCATCCTTCCTGTCACACCTATAGAGCAAAGCAGCCTTATCCTCTCTTTGGATTACCACATTGGTCTTACTCTCCCCAGTCTTGTATTCCTCTACTTCATTCACACTGCAGGTGCAATGTGATTTCTTCAATAGAAAACATCACATCTTGCCTAAAAATATCTTTAGTTGGTTCCTTTTTGCTCTCTGATGTCCAACTATTAGAGCTCAGTTTTCAGCCTTCCTATTTAAATGATGGTTCAGTACTACCTCTTATAACAGTTATATGGGAAATTGTTAGAAATGCAGATTTTGTAGTGTCATCATGCTGCTAGAAAATCAGCAGTTGCCTAAGATTCCCAGGTGATCCAAATGCTCGTGAAGTCTGGGACGTCCTGACTGGTGAGGCAGATGATACCTTCAACCTGTGCTTCAAACTCCTCCAGGCTCCTGCGACAGCTTCCATGTGAGTCCATCCCTTAGCACCACTTTCCACTTTGCTGGGTGTTTCTGTGCTCTGCCCTTTCACTGCGTTCTCTATAGATGCCACATTTTTTGGGAAGTATTTTCTGAATTTTAAGAGATAAGCTGGCTCAGGCTTGTGCTCCTCTGCTATTTTGTGTTCATATGAAACATGGTCATGTGCCAATCCACTTCATAAACAACTCCACAGTCCCCTGGTTTCACACCCCACTGGGCAGATGGCTCTGAGGACAGTCACATTCTTCTCCATGATGCTGTCGTCAGCACTTGTCACAACCCTGGAGCACTGAGACGCCCAGAAAAGTTTTGTTAGCTAATCAGGACTGCCCAGCAGCACCAGACATGTATCATTTACTAGTTTATGTACCATCCTAAGTAGAAAAACAGACCGAGTCACTAGTCACAAAAAATTATGGCATCCTTTCATGCATCTGACAAACACTAAAAATCTGTTAAAATAAACTAAGTGTGACAGTGCTGTCCCCAAACACTGCTCACGATACCGCCAACTACAGAGCTAGAGTCCATTTTATATCTACTCTAAAATTATTTGCATCTCACCCCACTCAGAAGGTGTCATTTAGATATTAGTGGATTTTACCTGGGGACAAAACGGAGTGCACCGTGATGGGGACCCTAACTGTTCCTGATCTTTTAAATTTGGCATCTATGAAAATTTGTTCATGAGAGGAGTTGTGCGAGATATTTGTGCTGCTGCATTTGGCCTTCCTCAGACAGGCTTGCTTTCTTCGTGATCAAAGGACAAGTTGCAGTCTTCCTTTCCAGCTTATTTATATTATTTAAATAAACACTTTAGAAAAATGTTCTGAAGTCTTTCCCTCAAATGTTTGAGACAAATTCTTGAGTTGAACACTTTCTCAGATTTTCCCCAGATCTCTAGAAGATACATATTTCTGCTATTTGTATTCTTTTTCAGTATAGGACTCTGTATCCTCTCCTTCATTCTGTCACTCTGTGACTAGTCTTTACTTCTTTTTCTTACTCTCTCACTACCAGAATTGTACGTAGGGGTCTATTATGGCAGCCTACTTTTTAAGTAAAGTAGAAGTTTCTTTGCAATGTACCAGGCCGAAACTATTGAAATGTTTTAGAAATCACCATATTACACTTAGATTATAGGGAAAAATGGTCATCTAAATAGAACAATTTACAGTTTTCACCAGTGCCTCATTAAAGGTTTTAATTTTTATTTAGTACAGGATCTACAGGGTCTCATTACACAGATCAGACTTGTGGGGATTCTGTTCCTAGCCTCCCAAGCTCTGGGATTACAGAATTGTGCCACCTCGCCCAGACTCAATTGCGGTGGGGCGGGGGCTGGCACGGCACATTGGACATTGAACCCTGGCCCCTGCGTTTGTCTAAGCAGGTGCTCTAATCTGCTGAGTAATCTCATTAAAGTTTTATACTGCTAAGAACATGCTTCAAGTATATATTTTAAAAGCCTTACACATACAAATAAATTATTTCAGATTTTAAATTTTAACAGACTATTCATTTTGCCCCCTCATTATGCCTTAGGCTCTGCATTTGCAGTGGTGAAAAGTAGTTTTTAGGGTGAACAATCTATATCTATAGATATATACAATGATAATGTGTCAGCTGAAAGTAAATTTAAAAAATGAACAGCCTGAAATACATGATTCATCCAAATGTAAACTGGGTACCTCAGCCCTCTGAGCTCACATTTGTGGGTAATAAAGGCAAAAATACAGAGGTTGGAGAGGCTCAGTGGGTGCCGCACATGTCCATCCTGTGCAAAGCCATGAGTCCAATTCCCAACACTAATGAAAACAGAGAACAAAAAAGAATGAAAAAAGTGGAAATTAATTGTCCTGGATGTCTACTGATATGATCAGAAGAACTATGTCTGATTCTGTCACTTTCTTTTCTCTTAGAAACCTAAAGTACATATTTTTTATGATTCTGCTTTAAGATATACAAGTTTGACATTGAACGAAACATTATTAAAATTTTCTTTCTAATGAATAAGATGTACCACTATTAAAAAAGCAATTTATTTTTAAATATCTTGTTCATGAGCATTTAAAAAATAGACCATGATATAATATGTAGGTGTAACAATTCCCGAAGAAGAATGTAGTTACTATATATCACAAACACATACTTATAAAAAAGCTGACATTAAAGAAAACATGAAAAATTTCATCAAATAGAATCACATTAAACTCTAACTTTTTTTTTTTTTTTTGGTGGGACAGGGGATTGAACTTAGGCCCTTGCGCTTGCCAGGGAAGCTCTTATTCCACTGAGCCATCTCCCAGGCACCCCCTTTTCTTCCCCATAATTTTATTGATAAACAAATAGCAATGAGACCATTTCAAATCAAATCAGTAGGACAGTTTCAATAATTAACACACTGCATACATTCTTCTTAGTGGTTAATTGCTGTACAAGATGTAGACTTGGTATCCTATCCACAAACACTATTAGAACAAAATATTCTATTTATTAAGAGAATGTAACTATATATTTATCCTAACCACTTTGAATACATAGATACAAAATGGACATTCATCTG